ACACTGCTGAGGGGAGCAGTGGGCGGGTCAGGAGAGGTCTGCCACACCATGTGGTCACCTCCAGGGCAGGCAGGAATCGAACTCATGCAGAAGCGGCTTTAGATTCTCAATGCTGTGCTGCACCACCAGGGAGGGCCCACCACCACCCCTTTTTAAGAGCAATATTTATGTTGTATTGTGGACCTGCCATAGTCCAGTATGACCTCGTCTTCACTAGTTACATCTGCAACGACTTAACTTCCAAATAAGATGACATTCTGAAACGCTGGGAGTTAGGATTTCAACATAAGAATTGGGAGGGCATGCACTTTAATCCATCAACGCTTAATGGTGAAGCTGTCCCCCAACATTATGTATTAAGTGTCATTGTTTATATGATTATATTTTCACATTCAGTCTAAATTAGGAAAGCTTAGTATAGTTGTGTATCAGGTATTGGCTAAACCCTGGGACTATCGCTATGATGCAGTGTATAAGGTGATGTGGTATGCACTACCAACAACAGAAATTAGAAGTGTTCAAGGGTTGCCTGCTTTTTTATTGGAGGTCACACTTTAAGGTCTGAACAGTGACAAACATCCAGAGTGGTGAAGACTTGGCAATTGGTACATTTTAGACAAAGTAAATGATCAAGTTCACGGCTCAAGGAGAAAAGGACTTCACATGTCAGAGAAACTGAAACTGTCACTGTGGCCATGGGAAAAAGTGGAATGTGTGCAGTTGGAAGAGTGACAGAAGCCACAGTAGCTAGTCTCAGGCCAGAGTTTGGATTTTGAGATACACTGGGACATTGTTAACATGTATAGCTTGGAAATTGTGAGGAGAATGAGAATAGGTGTGGACGAAACGTGGGTGGCAGAAACCACTTGTGGCAAAGAGTCACTGTGGAATTGTTAGATTAGAGATGAAATTTCTCAAGATGTGGTAACAATCAGATGAGTAAGGAGGGGTAAGAGAAAGAAGGAGATGGTCCCTGTTGAAATTCTTCTTAGGAATTTTTCCCCCCTTATGGGGATGGGAGGATTAGGAGTACATCTATTAATAGGAAGGGATTCTTAGATTTGGGGGCATAGATTAGTTATTCTGATTTGAACTGGAAAGTTTGAAAGGACATGGCATTCATGTGGAAGTTGTTGAACACATTTTAATGTGCTTCTCTCACGCTGTGTGCTCTCCCTGCATCTTTGACTCAAACTGCACTTGGAACTGGGTAACATCTAAGTCATCTTCATGTCTCTGCTTTGTCTTGCACATGGGCACCCCAACTCTTTACTGGATGTATACGTGGGAATATAAGCCTTCATTGAAGAACTGCTGTACCTGTTGCTATGCCAGAAGGTGGTGTAATACAGGAAAGGGAGTTTGAAGTCCTTTATTTTGTGCTGACTTAACGTAGGGTGGTTTGTCAGTGAACAAAATGACCAACAGCTATAATTCATTGGACTGCTCTCAGGATACTAGAATCAACCTGGGTTGCTGGTTTAAAATGCCAGTTGATGGAACTGAGAAAATCTGTATTTTTATCAAGTTTCTTGGGTAATAACAATGCATGCATTTTTTATGAGAAGCATTGAGCTAGTTCTGGCTGGCCCTCCCTGTCTTCTCATTTCTTTGGGGACTTAATGGGTTTCTCCATCACCTTACATGCTGTATAGTCTTAACCTCATTAATTTCTCATCTTTAAACAGAGTTCCTACTGCCCTTTAAAAAAACAATCAGTTAAGCCCACATCTTTCCTGTTACTTTAGAGGAAAATTGGGCATTTGTATTAAGCTATTTTTGGTCCTAGTACATGGCTATTTTTCCTTGTTCTGTTTTGCAGTCCCATGAGCGTGTAAGCAAGCGACTACATCAGAGGTTCCAAGCCTGGGTGGATAAATGGACCAAGGAGCATGTGCCTCGTGAAATGGCAGCGGAGACCAGCAAGTGGCTCATGGGTGAGGGGCTGGAGGGCCTTGTGCCCTGTACCACCACTTGTGACACAGAGACCCTCCACTTTGTGAGCATTAACAAGTACCGTGTCAAATACGGCACAGTGTTCAAAGCCCCGTAACTGCAAAGCCAGAGCAAGTGACTTAGGGGTGTGTGTGTGAGAGCGTGCACTCACATGCACTGAAGAAATAAGGAAGATGCCTTCTAAGCCTCACTGGGCCTCTCTGGGACATGGCCACCTGATCTGTGTGTGGCTGGTGCAACCTGGCACCAAGTGGGCTACATTTAAGGAACGTGGATACCTTAACAAAGCCAGAGCTGGAACTTTTCCCAGGCTTTGAGTATTACCTTGTCCTAGAGGGGAAAGAAGTTCTTGCAAGCGCCGAGACCTGCAGCTTGCTTGCACACACCAGCAGAGTAAGACTGGAGTCTTCTGGGGTCTGCCCTTCATGAGGGAACCAGATGCTGTCCACACCTTGCCTGGATGGGCGTGCATTTACAGACAGACAGGGGAAGGACTTGACTTTCGGATGCATAGTAACTCTGATACTCACTGCTCCTCTTCTCTCCCCACAAGAGGAGAAAAGAACTGGATTTAATTTGTTTTCCTGGTCACTCGAGCACATCTAGATCCCCGTTAGGTTTTACCTGGGACTTACAGCTTGGCTTTGGGGTTGATCATCTTGTGGATTTGATTCCTGACGAATCCTTTGCTGCCTACCCTGTATTCTCCTCTGGTTCTCAACCTCAACAAGTTCAAATCAGTCGTTCTTTTTAGCTCCCGTGGAACTGTTTTGTACCTGCTTCTTTACTAGTCTACCCTAGTGCCATCCACCAGCTTTACTCTCACACACAATTTTAACTTGGTATTTTTTTTTGTAAATAATGTACATACTGTCAATTTTTTATTAAAAGAAATATGCTTTGATGTGCTAGCATAACTGCTCTAGCTTCTTGTGTACCATAGTACTATGTGGCTTCAGATTTAGTACCTATGAACAGATGTACAAGACATTTATTACACTTTTTACCAAAGGGAGTTACCATTGTAGTACTTTTGTGTAAAACTTGTCTTCCTCCTTGCCCCAACCTTTTTCTTTCTTTCTTTCTTTTTTTTTTTTTTTTTTTTTTTTTTTTTGTAAATAAATAAAGCTTGGTTCTTACTTAAGGAATAAACTCTCAACCCAAGTCCCTTGTCTTCACCAGAGAAAAATTGTGAAGGAGAGATTTAGGCTTCAGTCTTTTAATCCATGATACAAATGGGATTTGGAGGCCAGATAGCAGCCATTTGCACTTGTCCCAAATCAAAATATTCCAAATTTTAAAAATAGAACTCTTGATTCTTTCAGTAAATTTCTACCCCTTAAGGCCCCCTTATTTAAGCTGTTTGGAAGTATTTTATATTTGGGTAAAGTTGTTTAGCTTATGTAGCTTGTCTTTCTGTATATTTTTTCTTACTGGAAATGGAGGTGAACAATTTAAATACCAAACCAGTATTTAAAAAGCGTGTGTAAGATGTGTGGTATAAGTGGATTGGGAGGGAGAACATTTGATACATTTCATTAGCAACTGCAAATGGAATATATATTTTTTTAATTCCTAAATTTAACTCGTAGACATGTAAACATGAATGATTAGGGTCTTTATGTGGTTCCCCTGGACACTGAACAAAACCCTGCAGTGCTGTAGTGGATTTTTTTCTAGCCACCACTACTTAGTCATAGTTGTAAACTACAGTGTTTTAAACCGTTTTGCTCGGATTGCAATTAAAAATCCTCAATGCCACCATCAAAAAGCCACACATTTTCTGGCTTTTATATTTTGAAACTAGCGATAGACCTCTTTGATTTTAGTTTTTGTTATGGGGATACAGAAAACTGGATATACAAAAAGTGGGAAGAAATTCTAGAGCCAAGCTGGGGCCTGACTTGGGGTTAGATTGAGACATAGCACAGTGGGGAGAGGATTTCAGGTTTTCCCAGCAGTAATAATGCCTACCTCCCTGTGTTTGTGCAAGAAAGATGGTGTTGATCTCAGTTGTGACAGAGTTGATGGGGCCTTACAGGGACATTCCCTCTGTTGCTGTCCTTCCAGTGTTCCATGTCCAGAGCACCAGCCCACAAGTCAATAGGGTTTTGGGTCTTTCTGGGCAAAAATCCCAACCCTATCAGTGCAACCAAAAGAAGGGGGAGCTTCACCTGAAGTCAGGGTGGTTACAAGTAATGTTTTTTATCCCACCTGCTTTCTGACATTTGGAGCTCCCAGTTTGTATTATAGCAGAAAGTTACCTTTATTTTAAATCATGTTTGGTATTCTGTGGTCACCTTTTTGTGTGATTTGCATTTTGAAATGTTGTAAATTTGGTCAGTATTTTCATTAAAATATCAGGGCTAATGTTGTGTATATATTTTTCTTCCAGTAATTTTGTAGAAGAGGGCTTCCTGGCAATCATAGAAGGGAGTGTTGTACTTAGGATAACAATGGGGTGTTTCTGGCATTATGCCGTCCCCAAGTTCTGCAGTCCTGTGGGAAAATTCATTCTCTTAGGGTCTTGATTTGCCATCTCAAAAATCAAAACCCATCCAGTTTCTGATGCCTGGCAACAGTTACCCAAGGGTAAAACGTAGTTGAGGAAGCGGAGGTGACTGGGGGGAAAAGCCCCCTGTTTAAGAGTCGTTTCAACAACCAGCTAGAGAGGCGATGTCCTTTGTGCCCAGGCTTTCTGCATTAAGCAGATGCCAGTTTTTGAGATAGCTAGAGCCAGGGTTCTACCGCGGTGAGGAGGTTGTTCCCAGCTTCTAAGGCTGGGCGGCCCTTGTCTACTGCAGTCGCACTGCTCGCGCCCGCCCTGCCTCCTGGTCTCTGACCTGGCACTTCCGGGGAGTCTAGGGGTGAAACTTTACTTGAAAGATCTGCCCAGAGGTCCGACGTCCGGGACGAGGCCGTGGGGTGACGAGAAGAGTTTCCGCGAGGCCTGGTGTTCCGAGAAAAGCTGCCCGGGGCGGGAGGGCGTCCTTGCACGCCGGAACCTTCGCTTCCCAGCCGCGGGGCGCGCCGGCCGCACCCAGGCCCTTCCGGGAGAGGAGCGGCCATGGCGGCGGCGCCGGCACTGAAGCACTGGCGCACGACGCTGGAGCGGGTGGAGAAGTTCGTGTCCCCACTCTACTTCACGGACTGTAACCTCCGCGGCAGGTGTGCCCGCGCCCGAGGGAGTCCGGGGGCTGGGAGGAGGTCCCTGGGCGGCGTCCTGTGAACGCGCAGCCCTCCCACCGGCTACTCCCGGTGCGGAAAGGGAGCGGCTGGAGCGCGAGCCCACCAGCCCTGCCCACCCAGGCTCTTCGGAGACAGCTGTCCGGTGACCGCGCTCTCCAGCTTCCTGACGCCCGAGAGGCTCCGGTATCAGGAGGCAGTTCAGCAGCACTTCCGCCCGGCCCAGGTCGGCGACAGCTTCGGACCCACGTGGGTAATCCCCAGGAGGAGGGCCTCAGCCCTCAGCCCTAGACAGCCCCTTTGGGCTGAGCAGCACCCAGAGCTGGGAACAGCTCCCCTAGTCCCTCCCTGTTCAAGAAGAGAACTTCAGCCCTCCTTGCACCCTCCTCACCCACATTCTACCCACCTAGTTGCGCGTTTGGTAGCTCCTTTATGTGGATCAAAGCTGAATGTCTTGGCACACCGCAGAAGCCTAAAGAAACTCAAGCCCCCCCAATCCTTGGCTTAGGGAAGTACGTCAGAACATCAGGGCTTCCATTCCTAGGCTCATCTCAGTGGCTCTCTTGCAGATGGTGGACCTGTTGGTTTCGGGTGGAACTTAACATCCCAGAAATGTGGGTAGGCCAGGAAGTTCACTTTCGCTGGGAAAGTGATGGAGAAGGCCTGGTGTGGCGTGATGGGGAACCTGTTCAGGTGAGCAGCCCTGCCTGAGAGACATTTCAGCCCTTGTCTCTGGAGAAGCCACAGTTTGAGTGACTGTCTGCAGGGTGGTATTGGGATTTTACAGCTTGGACACTTGTGCAGTTGGTGCCTCCCATACAGGGAAGTTAAACTGGTGACTTTCGGATCAATCTGCTGCTAAACCAACCCTGCCGGGGTCTGGCCATTCTGGGCTGAAAAGAATTAGAATAAAATACAATAATAATAAGTACAGTAGGCCAATTTATCAACCCTAGTGGTGTCAGGCTGTGGCTTTGCAGGCCATATCACTTTTTAGTTTTTAATAAACCAGTTTTTACTATGTTATTATGTACTTGTAATACATGTTTACAGGGAGGGCTTTTAAAACTTGAATATTACAGAGTAAACATGGAAGTCCTCTTCCCCAGAAGTCATGAATCTCTTTCCTACTGTCTTATCCTCAGTTCTGCAAGTATAATCACTGTTGTCTTGTTTATGCATCCAACCATACAGGTTTAATCTTTGTAGTCCTATGTAGTAGGTCTTCATGCCTATCTGCAGATTGAGATTAAGATATATGGTATTCACTTGGTCAGGTTCACACAGCTTCCATTCCAGTTGCACTAGCTCTCAGTCTTGGGTTGGGATTGTTGCTTTTAAAGCCCCTTCTTCCCATCCCTTCTTCCCCTGCCCACCCTCCTACTGACTTAGCAGATATCTCCTGAGTGCCTCCTCTGGGCCAGGCTCTATGTTAAGCCCTGGGGGGGAGGGGGGGGGCGGGGAGTAATAACAGAATGAGGCAAACCTATCCCTGACTTCATAGAATTTTCCATTCAGAGGCACAGAGGGTCAGGAGGCCCTCACTCAGGATCCTGTCCATAAGACCAAGGACTTTTCTGCTGGTAAATAATTGCCATTTGGTGATTGCAGCTGCAGTTACCATAAGGGTTGGAGCACCTCAGGCCCCTCATTTGTCATTCCTCACCTTGGAGAGAGGGGCCAGAGCTGGGCAATGAGTGAAGGGGCCTGGCCTGAGCCATCCTGTCACTTTGACTCCACCTCCACCAGGGTTTGACCAAAGAGGGAGAGAAGACCAGTTATGTCATCACTGATAAGCTGGGGGAAGAAGACCCCCGGAGGTGAGTCCTGATGTTCTGGTTATATGGGTTATGAGGGAGGAGGCCACTAGTGGGCAAGGAAGAACTGAGGCCCAGGGTGATCTTAGAAGTATCCCTACTTCTGTATGAGCATCGTCACATCTCATAGTTTGTTTCAAAAAAGGAGGATTTTGTTCCTAATGCTCAAAATACAAAAAGTGCAAGAAAAGTAAATTTCATTCTCCCATCAGGCAAAGAGAACCAATAATATCAGCATTCATCTCAGGAATTCTTTTAAGTTTAATGTTTACTAGCTGAGATGATATTTTTGTGATAGCTTAAATCCTGATTTCTTTATTTTTCTTTAAAGATTTATTTATGCGTACATGAAACTGGAGTGTAGGCCAGAGGTGCAGGGTCACTGAGAGGGTTCACTAGAGACAGAGTGGGGAGCAGACCAGGTAGATCTACTGAAATACACTGCTGAGGGGGTGAGACAGGCAGTGGGTGAGACAGGCAGGTCTGCTGTGCCATGTGGTTCAGCTCCCTGGCTGGGGACAGAATTCATGCTTCAGTGACTGGTAATAGCTTAATAATGCTGAGACTATCAGCACTTTAAGTGTCACCTGGGAGGCCTCTAATTTTTCTCTCTTTTTTAAAAGATTGATTTATTTATGCATACAGAACTGGGGTACAGGCCAGAGGTGCAGGGTGGTGAGAGGATTCACCAGAGAGAGAGTGGAGAGCAGAATAGGCTGACTGACAAAGTACACTGCTGAGGGGAGCAGCGGGCGGGTCAGGAGAGGTCAGCTGCCGCGCCATGTGAGTCACGTCTGGGGCCTGGGATTGAACTCATGTGGAAGTGGCTTTAGCTTCTTAGTGCTGTGCTTTAACCCGCTGTGCTACCAGGGAGGGCCTTGATTTTTCTCTTTAATGACACCATTAAAGACTTTTTAGACATGATTGTATTTTATAACAACGATTGTACATTGTGTATCTGATGCTTCCAGACACTGGGATTATGGTGGTTGTGGTGTATTCTTTGTCAGCAAGTAGGGCTCATTACGTACTCATGTCCTTACAAAACTGGTGAGGGCCCCAAAAGAACACCGTGAGAGCTAAACCTGGGACATCCATTCCTGCTTGAGACGGGGGGAAGACGATGGGTAGGAAGAAGCCAAGGAAGCCTTCCCTAAGGAAGTCGTTTTGCTGACTCTGCTGAATAAGGCAAAAAGCAGGGCCCCCCATGCTGCCCCAGTTGGTGTCCCCCTGCCCCATGTTTGCCTGTGGATCTTTGCCCTGAATGATCAGAGGTGGGAGATATGTTTCTAATATGAAAAGAGGGTTCTGAGACTAAGGTAGTACTTTGCAAAGACAGCATTGGAAATGAAAGATTAAATAGTAGCGCGAGTCACGCTATTCTAAATTTGGCTAGTTTTTTCCTAGACCAGTTGAAACACTGGCAGGACATAGGTTTGCCCTGGTACTTCTAACAGAACCCTCTCACACACCCCTGAGATTCTGTGAGATGAGTGATGGATTCTGGAGGTGAATGGCAAGGGGTGAGCAGGATGAGTCCTCCATAGGTCTGTGGCCTGAGGCCGCCTCCCTGCCTTTGTAGCCTGACCCTCTACGTGGAAGTAGCGTGCAATGGGCTCCTGGGGGCCGGGAAGGGCAGCATGATCGCAGCCCCTGACCTCGAGAAGATGTTCCAGGTGAGCCGGGCCGAATTGGCTGTTTTCCACTGCGATGTCCACAAGCTCCTGGTGGATCTGGAGCTGCTGCTGGGTGTGGCCAAGGTACTAACTCCCCACCCCCACCCCATCAACTCTGTAGAGGTTTAGCGGGTGAATTGGGCCTCTTGGAAGAAGGAAAATGTGTTTTTGCATGCCTGAGTGTTGAGAAAACATCTGTGTAAGTGGAGGAGGGAGGGAGGCAGTACTGAACAGGAAAAGCGGTGGGGAGGCGCTCTCCTTGGAAGATGAGTTGGAGCCTATTCTGAGGATCCCACCTGCTTGAGAAGGGCATTAAGGGGCTGAATCCTGCTGCAGGGCCTTGGAGAAGACAACCAGCGAAGCTTCCAGGCCTTGTACACAGCCAACCAAATTGTGAATGTCTGTGACCCTGCCCAGCCAGAGACCTTTCCGGTGGCCCAAGCCCTAGCATCCAAGTTCTTTGGCCAGCATGGAGGTGAAAGTCAGCACACCCTCCATGCCATAGGGCACTGCCACATTGATACAGGTAGGGCAGCGGCTAGCTGGGCTGGCTTGGGGAGGTGGGAGTGCCCTTGAAATTCTGGCTGTGACCCAGAATCACGGCGTGATCCTCAACAAGTTCTTGCCTTGCTTCTCTTGGACCTCAGTTTTCGCCAGCTCTCAAATGGGCGAGGAAACTGGACTGTGGGCTTGAGAGCTGTGGCTTCATTTATTTTTTCAATAAATCTGTTCCCTTTGGCCCCTTGCTAAATAATAGGAGGTAGGATTGCAAAGACTGCTGATCACAAGTAGGCAGGCACTCTTGGTGCTGTCCTAAAGGGTATGTGGGGGCTGGGAAGCTCAGCTGCTCGGGGTATAATTCAGAGAGGCTTTTTGGAGGAGGTGACCTTTGGAACCGCAATAATCAGAGTTTTACAAGCGTACCCATGGTACACCCTAGAGAGGAGTAGTGAAATAATTGAAATGGAGGCTTAAGCATACTGGGAGATTTCCTGGGGAGGATCAGGAGTTAAGCTTTGAACCTGATCATAGAGTTTGCCACATTTGAGGCTTATGGGCAATCCACATTTTTAACAAGCTCCCCAAGGCATTGATTCTGATATAGCTGAAGTTCCTGAAACAACAAGTTTTCTCTGCCCAGGTGTTGGTGGAGTGAGAACTAGTGAAGAACTGAGGCCTAAAGTTGAGAGGTTATAGGACCTCACACAGCTGCACCTGGGAGAACATGGTTCTGGGATGTGCATCAGTGAGTGTGGAGGAAGGGTTAGCTCCTGCTTCCTCTTGGGGTCCCTCCTCAGAGGGATCTAGACCTTAAAGTGAGGCTGTCCCAGGGCTTGGTCTGTAAGATTGTCCTGATAGCCCTGCCCACCTCCTCCATTCTCTAGCCCTTTGCAGCAGTGATTCAAAGTGGCAGCTCAGCAGGGGTGCACAAGGCTCTACTGGGAAAGGCCAGGAGTAAGAAGAGGGCTGAGAAGGCCCTCTGGAGGCCAGACTGGCCCTTGCGGGAATCAGTGGGGTGAAGTTAGAGATCTGTGAGGGGCCGGGAACCTTGCTGTTCTCCCTCCATCTCCACTCTCCCCTTCTAGCCTGGCTTTGGCCCTTCAAGGAGACTGTGCGGAAATGTGCCCGGAGCTGGGTGACAGCTGTGCAGCTCATGGAGCAGAACCCTGAATTCACCTTTGCCTGCTCCCAGGTCAGAGGCACAGCTGGATAGGGGCACCTGGAGCTCACTAAGTCGGAGGGCGAGGCTCTGAGGGCTTCTGTTCGGGAGGCAGAGCTCTCCCCACCCTCAGCCACCCTTGGGCCCCACACCTGGTCCTGGCTGGGTCCTCATTACCCCTGACCCAGCTCTGACTCTGTCTTGCCCACAGGCCCAGCAGCTCGAGTGGGTGAAGAACCACTACCCTGGCCTATATACTCGCCTCCAGGAATTTGCCAACCGTGGGCAGTTTGTGCCTGTGGGGGGCACGTGGGTCGAGATGGTAAGTGCAGTCTGTGCTCCATCTCTCAGCCATACCTCCACACCTTTACTCCTGTGGCTCGGGCCCTCCTTGACTTTGTTAGTGACTTTACAGTCCCTTCACGTTCCCCGCTGCCATGTGGCAGCATGTGTTAAGTCTCTGGAGTCCCAAGACCAGGGTCTGGGGCGACGAGGGTAGGGCGGTCTCCAGCGCTGCAGCAGGCTGTTTGCATAACGCAGCCTTGGGAACCTTCCCTCCCGCAGATGGATGGTGCTGGCTGGAGCCCCTGTGTCTGAGGGCCCTGGCTTCTGATGGGGTAGGGTCCGCCTGAGCCCCAGACTGCTTCCCATTTGGTGCTGAAGGCTCAGCTGCCTCCCTCCCTTCACTGCCTGCCAGGATGGAAACCTTCCCAGTGGAGAGGCCATGGTGAGGCAGTTCCTCCTGGGCCAGAACTTCTTTCTGCAGGAGTTTGGGAAGATGTGCTCTGAGGTATGCTGGGTGCTACTACTGCGCCTGTGGGTGGCTGGGGCAGGAACTTGACCTTGGATGATGAGGGGCTTGGGCTCTCCAAGAGCCGTGGTTCCTTTGCCCCAGGAGCTCTTTCACCCCACAGTTCTGGCTACCAGACACGTTTGGCTACTCAGCGCAGCTCCCCCAAATCATGTGCAGCTGTGGCATCAAGTACTTCCTGACCCAAAAACTGAGCTGGAACCTGGTGAACTCCTTTCCAGTGAGCAGGTCTCGGGGTTAGGTTCAGCATGCACCTGGGGCCCACCTGCCCCATTTACTTCCCAGGTTTATTGCGAGTTTTATGGGGTAAGCCCCTGGCCCCTACCCAGGGTGGTTGTCTCTCCTCCAGGTGACACAGCTGGCAGGCGTAGGGGTGGGGGCAGCAGAAAATCTGGAGAACCAGCCCTCCCCGACCCTGATTCCTCCCTGCCCTCTGCCTCCAGCACCATACCTTTTCCTGGGAGGGGCTGGATGGCTCCCGTGTGCTGGCCCACTTTCCACCTGGTGACTCGTATGGGATGCAGGGCAGTGTGGAGGAGGTAAGGAGAACCTAGCAGCCAGGGTGTTGGGCGGGATCGGGGCAAGAGAGGGCTGGGGGTCCTGTACCAAGCCGAACTATCCTGACCTGTCACCATCTGTCCAGGTGCTGAAGACGGTGACCAAAAACCGGGACAAGGGGCGGACCAACCACAGTGCCTTCCTCTTCGGCTTTGGGGATGGGGGTGGGGGCCCCACCCAGACCATGCTGGACCGCTTGAAGCGCCTGGACAATACAGATGGACTCCCCAGGTCAGGCCTGGCCCCTAGGCAGCCCCGGCCTGAGCCCTTCCTGCTCTGGACCCAGCGTCCCCACTGGACCCTGTCTGGCTCCAGTTCTGGTTCATTGGCTTCTCCAGACTTCCAGACTGGGGGGTGGATGGGAGAAAAGCTAAGGTTGACAAGGAGCAAAAAGGAACTCACTCAGAACTGCTTTTGTATGAACAGGGAGCTTTCTGGGACCACACTTTTCTGTTGGGGCTGGGCCTTGTCCACTCAGTCTAGAGAAAGGCTAAGCCATCTGGCCTCCCAAGGCTAGGGGGACCCAGACTTCCTGTCTCCCTTCAGGGTACAGCTGTCTTCCCCAGAGCGCCTCTTCTCTGCACTGGAGAGCGACTCAGAGAAGCTGTGTACGTGGGTCGGGGAGCTCTTCCTGGAGCTGCATAATGGCACCTACACCACTCATGCCCAGGTCAGGAGCTGGGGTGCTTTCAGTCTCAGAGGGTCAGAGAAGGCAGCCAAAACATGCCCTAGCCAGACTTGGGGAAGAGATTGGCATTCCTAGGAGGACCTCAAAGCTCAAAAGTCACAAGCTCAGTGGGTCAGGAGCCTGGAAGAGACAGGACTGAGCCTCTGACGGAAGAGAGGTCTGGGCTGAGAGCAGAGGAAGGCCACCCATACAGAAGCCTTATCTAGGGGGCCTTAGGGAGCCGTGAGGGTTCTGAGCAGGGTAGGTCATGGGAACGTGTCCTGGGACGCAGGAGCAGACTCCAGACTGATCCCCCCCACCTTGGGCTCAGATCAAGAAGGGAAACCGAGACTGTGAGCGGATCCTGCATGATGTGGAGCTGCTCAGCAGCCTGGCTCTGGCCCGCAGTGCCCAGTTCCTGTACCCAGCCGCCCAGCTGCAGGACCTCTGGAGGTCAGTCACCCCCCTGGCCTTGCCCCTCCAACCTTCACTCTTCCCATTCCCCGGCCTTCCTCCTCCCAGCCTGCCCTTGACCCATGCAGGCTGCTGCTCTTGAACCAGTTCCACGATGTGGTGACTGGAAGCTGCATCCAGCTGGTGGCAGAGGAAGCCATGAGCCACTATGAAGGTGAGGTTGACATTCCCACCGCTTTCTAATACCTGGCGCCAAGCCCCTTGTGGAGATACTCAGGGGTCGTCCCACATCCATCACCCACCTGTGACCAGCCGGTCTCTCCTCAGACATCCGTTCCCAGGGCAATGCACTTCTCAGCACTGCAGCTGCAGCCTTGTGTGCTGGGGAGCCAGGGCCCGAAGGCCTCCTCATCGTCAACACACTGCCCTGGAAGCGCACTGAAGTGCTGGCCCTGCCCAAGCCAGGAGGGGCCCACAGCTTAGGTATGAGCTGGGGCTGACTGTCTCTTGTAGCAGGAGGGAGCCAAGAGCAGACCGGGAATTGGGAACACTCCCCTGGGGATCTCTGCCTTGGGGTACCAAGACTGGAGAGGAGGAGTGTCTCCCTCCCTCTCCGGGAGATTCCTGGAGGTCAAGGAGGCTGCGCTGATGCCCAGGCCTCGTCCCCAGCCCTGGTGACAGTGCCTGGCATGGGCTATGCTCCTGCGCCCACCCCTACCTCCCTGCAGCCCCAGCAGCCCGTGTTCGTGGTACAAGAGGTGAGTGCTGGCACAGCCTGGGGGTGCAGGGCAGTCTTGGACCACCCTAACAGCATGGGGGTTCTGAGCCTGCCGGCCTGGAGCCAGTGTGAGGTGGAGCTGGGATGGGGCTGGGTGGCCGGCTGTTGGTTGGGAAGAAGCCCCTGCAGGCCCACCTCAAGGTTCCCCTCCCTCAAGACTGACGGTTCTGTGACTCTGGACAATGGCATCATCCGGGTGAAGCTGGACCCCGCTGGCCGCCTGACGTCCCTGGTGCTGGTGGCTTCTGGCAGGTGCCGGCCCCTCCCTAGCCTCCCCCCCTCCCATGCTTCTTGGGTAGACCCCAGACCCAGGTCCCTCTGCCCACTGGCCATAGTGTTGTCCACGGCAGCCACCTGTGGCTCTCAGTTGGGCCCCTCACGTGGAACAAGGCAGGCTACACTGGCAATCCCTTGGCTCCCGGGCCCGCCCACCCTCTTTTACCCTATCTGAGGTCACAGGGCATCTCTGTGTCTTTCCAGGGAGGCCATTGCTGAGGGCGCTGTGGGGAACCAGTTTGTGCTGTTTGATGACGTGCCCCTGTACTGGGACGCTTGGGATGTCATGGACTACCACCTTGAAACACGGTGCGAGGAGGCAGCTGGTGGTGGGCACACTGGATCTTCTCCACGAGCCTGCCCTGACTCAGCGGTCCCACCCCTGTCTCACAGGAAAACGGTGCTGGGCCAGGTGGGGACCCTGGCAGTGGGCACCGAGGGCGGCATGAGGGGGAGTGCCTGGTTCCTGCTGCAGATCAGCCCCAAGAGTCAGCTCAGACAGGAGGTGGTGCTGGACGTTGGCTGCCCCTATGTCCGCTTCCACACTGAGGTAGGGGGGGATGGGGCGTGGGGCGACTTCCCTGGGTGTGACTGGTGAGGCCAGGCTGACCCTAGGCCTGTGTGTCTCCACCTCACACCTGCCTCAGGTGCACTGGCATGAGTCCCACAAGTTCCTGAAGGTGGAGTTCCCTGCACGCGTGCGGAATTCCCAGGCCACCTATGAGGTCCAGTTTGGACACCTGCAGCGACCCACCCACCACAACACCTCTTGGGACTGGGCTCGTTTTGAGGTCTGACATGGGTGAGGGGGTCAGTATTGGGGTCTTTCCTGGCTGGGGAAGACCACTGTGGTATGGGGTAAGGAGGGGGAGGAAAGTGAACATTTGCTGGTCACGAACGCATGTAGGCATCATGCTAAATGCTTTATGTTTAGTCTGATACCCTGTCCATTGGTGGAGTAAGTAGTTATCCCCATTTCGAGAGTGAGGAGCTAAGATAAGGTAGGTGGTGGGTCCAGGTCCTGCTGTAGGGAGAGCTGGACCCTGTGGTTCCAGGGCTTGTTCTCAGTGTAGGAGGAGGTGGGCTTCAGTGGGTCTGGACCTGTCCTCCAGGTGTGGGCCCACCGCTGGATGGATCTGTCAGAGCACGGCTTCGGGCTGGCCCTGCTCAACGACTGCAAGTATGGCGCATCGGTGCAAGGCAGCGTCCTCAGCCTCTCACTGTGCGTGGGGTGCCCCCGGGGGCTGGCATGGGGCACCAGTGTTCCTGGGTCTGACCAGAACTACAGCAGCCCTGCCAGCCCTGACCATTCTCGCTCTCTCAACTCCAGCTTGCGGGCATCTAAGGCCCCTGATGCCACTGCTGACATGGGGCACCACGAGTTCACCTACGCATTGATGCCACACAAGGGTGAGTACCAACCAGTCCCCTACCCTCACCTCTTGGCCCTTCACCGAGCCTGAATTTCCACAACAGTCCCTGAGGAATACATAGCAGCAGCTGGACACCCACCTCCACTTAACCATTTTGTCCCTTTCTGCCCACACTCAGGCTCCTTCCAAGACGCCGGTGTTATCCAAGCTGCTTACAGCCTCAACTTCCCCTTGTTGGCTCTCCCAGCCCCAGGCCGGGCACCAGCCACAGCCTGGAGCGCCTTCTCAGTGTCCTCGCCAGCAGTCGTGTTGGAGACCGTCAAGCAGGCAAGAGGTTTGGGGGTGTGTGCCCAGGCAGTGGCCCAGGGCCTGGCTTGGGTCCAGCCCACCCACTGTCCTTTTCCCTTCAGGCGGAAACCAGCCCCCAGGGCCGCACACTGGTGCTGAGGCTCTATGAGGCCCACGGCAGCCACGTGGACTGCTGGCTGCACACGTCACTGCCAGTTCAGGAGGCCTTCCTGTGAGTGGGGTGTGGGGCATGGGTGGTGTGGGGGTCCTGCCCTCTCAAGACCTCATGGCCCCCCTTCGTTTTCCTAGCTGCAGCCTCCTGGAGCAGCGTCTCCCTGCTGGCCACCTGCCCCTGCAGGACGCCCACCTGAAGCTCACCTTCTCTCCCTTCCAAGTGCAGTCAGTCATGCTCGTTCTGCAACCCCCACCCAACTGAATCCTGAGGTGGGAGTTTGTTCCTGGATTTTATATGTTGTTCTTCCTCTCAGAGAGCAAGGCTGACTTGCCCCTTGCACAATAAATCCTGGCTAAGGAGCCCTGCTGGTAGTCCCTCCTCAGGCTCTCCTCAGGCTTCCAGGGAAGCTTTTCTTTGCACTTGGGGCCAGGGGAGTATTGGAGGTTACCGTATTTGCAGGGGCTAGATTGTAGCTCCGTGAGAGACCTGTGACCACAAGCCTATGACAAGAGTTGCCAGCAGAGTACTTGAGGCTGGGGAGGACACCAGGTGGGCAGGTCTGGTTGGTCCTGCTAGGAGAGTCACTATCTAGTCAGAGCCAAGCTGAGGGGTAGCCACAGGCCCCGAGGGCTCTGGACTAGAGTTGCTATGGAGCCCAGACCAGGTTCTCTGCACCATTTCTGTTTTTTTTCTTAATTAATTTATATGTATTTTACATCAGATGTAATCCCCATAGAATTTCCACTGCCAGTTTACTGGTACAGCATCACCATAGTCTCTTGTGCTCTTTCCCTCATCTTCCCCTGTAGAATGCCCCTATATTCTGCCTATAAGTGAAACCACCCATTATTTTTCTTTTTCCTTCTAACATTTCACTGAGCATATCCCATCTAGCTCCACCCATGGTGCTGCAAATGGCACTAGTTTATCTTTTTGATTGCAGAGTAATATTCCATTGTGTATATATATCACATCTTCTTGATCCTGTCACCTATTTTTTCAGCTCCTTGATCTTTCTCCTTACCTTCTGGGATTCCTGTAACTCTTAACATTTCCCTTCCTCGTGGTGTCAGATAGTTCTCAAAGTGTTTCCTCATTCTTTGTCCTTTCCTTTTCTGTTTTGTTTCTTTTTTTTTTTTTTTTAAGATTTATTTATTTGTGCATACAGAACTGGGGTACAGGCCAGAGGCTCAGGGGCGGTGAGAGGGTTCATCAGAGACAGAGTGGGGAGCAGAACAGGCAGATGGACGAAGTACACTGCTGAGGGGAGCAGCGGGCGGGTCCGGAGAGGTCTGCCACACCATGTGGTCACCTCCGGGGCAGGCGCCTCCGGGGCAGGTGGGGATCGAACTCATGCGGAAGCGGCTTTAGCTTCTCAGTGCTGTGCTTCAACCCGCTGCGCCACCAGGGAGGGCCCTCTGTTTTGTTTCTTTTTATTTGTGTTTTCAAGAGTACTGATTCATTACTTCCCAGAGTTCATCTCCTTCACTCATCTTTTAATCTCTTGCATTTTTTATTTCCTTTCTTAAGGTCTCAGTTTCATTCTTTAGTTCATTAATTATGTGTCTCATATTATTTTTTTCCTTTTCATCTTCTTTATATTTTTTAATCATGATGACTTTAAATTCTCTGTCAAGCAGAGAAGTTCTTCCATGTCATTGCTGTTGAGTTCTGGTGACTGATTTTCTTTTTTGTGGTGTGTCCTTTTCCTGAGGGCTTGCTTGGCTAGTTGTATTTTCCTTCTCCCTGTTGTTTGTTTTCTAATTTGCTCTATGTGTTTAGATACTGTGCTGCTGGTGTGGGCGGACACCTCTTGGGAGTGCTCCTTCTGGTAGTCAGACAGAGTCCAGCGCGATTGCGCCAAAACTCCACAAGGGTGGTGATGCTGTGTATGTGTTGATGGGTGCTGCCCCTGCTGATCCCCACCCTCTGTATTTCCTCCATTCGGTGGGGGATAGTGTGGGCCCTGGCTTCAAGCTGTGGCGCAGGGACTGCACACTCAGTGCCTGTGGATTGCAGCCCTGCCTGGTCTGGTTCTGCTCAGTTCCAAATCATGGGTCTGGGGATCCCTGCTCTGCTCTACACCTCTATTCCATCGACCTCCATTTGTTTGCATGCCCACCCTCTCAGTTCCAAAGGGGAGTGTTCCTAGCTTCCAGCTGTGGGGGAGAGGAACTATGCAGCCTTCGGTGCCAGTGGGTCCTGCCCCCATCTGGCTTCTGACTGTGGGAGGTTGGGAGGGGCGCTGTGCAGTCTTGGTTCTGGTGGGTTTCCCGTCCCCACTGAGCTTCTGTTTGTGGCAGGGGGCTGCGTGATCTCAGTCTGCACCACTTCTGAGGGACTGTCCTGCTGAGGAGGGGAGCCTTCCGTCCCCAGGGCCATGCAGCTGGCCCTCCCAGCTTAGCCATCTCAGATGTTCTGCAGCCAGTCCAGAAAGGGCCAAGGATTTCAAGCATCAGTTTATTTAAAAAACACAATAAAACACCATCTTCCCAGTGGGCTTTAAAAATGGGAAAAGCAGGGAACAATTAAAAACATCATTATTATGCAGGGAGCAACCACAGCACTAGGGTCATCCTTCCACAGATGCTGCGGTGAGGAAGCCACGTGGCCCCCCACCCCCACAGCAAGGCAGTGGGAGGGGTGGCTGCTAGCTAGGAGAGCCCTTGCTAAGAGGCTGAGGTCTCCCCGAGCTCCAAAGATGGTGAGTCAGCCTTGGTCTTGCGGAGCCTGCGGTGACCTGTGAGCAGAGCAGATGAAGGTGTAGCTCAGACCCGGTCACAGTGCCAAGCCCTGGAGCCTCTCTCGCCCCGTGTGTCCACTCAGGCGCCCCACCTGCCCTGCCACCCTTCCTCTCCTGCAGGGCTCCAGAGGAGAGTGAGGAGGGTGAGCCTCCAGAAGTTGCTGCTCGGGCCCGCCTCTTTTTCCTTTTCTTGGGGCTTAGCATGGTTTCTGGGTCCTGTTGGAGGCTGGTCTCCTTGGACTGCTGGGCTGCAGTTTGCCCTGGTGGAAGGGCTTTCCGTACCCTACGTGTCCTGGAAGGCCCCTTGCTTGGCGCCTGCATGGAGGAGACATTGGTCCCTGAGGCACTTGGCAGGTCCAAGGTTGGCTTGGACCCACCATTGTCACCTTTGTCAAGGTGGCTGCCCCAAAGTCTGATCTGGTTGGTTCGGCCAGTGCAGGAGAGAGTGCAGGAGGGGGCGAGTAGGGCATATACCTCACTAGAGTCCTCAGGACCCTGCTGCGCTCCCTTGGATTTCTTCTTATGAGACTTGCCCCCTGCAGGACACCGACATGGGGGCTGGAGGGTGTGATGGCCTCAGCCCCCTTTCTGAGACTCCCGCTCTCCCACTCTGGGGTCATTCCCAGCGTAATCCCACATGGGAGTGAGAACGGGATGGTGAAGAGTACTGACGCTCCTGCAGGCATGAAGTCCTTTCTGCTTTCTAAGCTTATTACATAAAGAGTAGCTTACCTTTGGGTACTAGGGGTCCAGGATCCCCCTAAAATGGAATGTGGAGAATTCAGAAATCAACTGACTTGAGGCAGGGCCAGGTTTACCTAGAGAGGCAGAACTCATACTTGTCCTTTCAGATCCCTCCATCTCCTCCGCTAGGAATCGTCTGACTGTCCCACCCCTCAGTCCAGCCCCCACACACAGGAAGCCCTCTAGCTGGGACCCTGGGGCTCAGAAGAGGAGTGTCTCAAGGCAGATTATGGGAGGGCCTGCACAGATCCTGGGAGACTGAGTCTGCTCCGGGGAGAGCCCAGCTCCCGCCTGCTGGGGCTCAAGTCTGTGTCTGCCTGTGTGAGCTGTCGGCCCAAACCTGGAACCAGATGGTGCGGCCCTGCCGGTCCCGCAGGGAGCTCATGCCCTGCACGCCGTAGCACCGCAGCCAGGCTCGGAAGGCAGCAAAGTCTTCCTCTCCGCTCTCCGGCCCATAGCCTTTGCCCCCTATGGGACAGAGGAACGAGGCGGAGGTCAGAGGGCAGACTCAGGCTGGGCGCAGGGGGAGCCCGGCCAGATCTGGCCCAGACCTCAGCTGCACAAGCTGATGGACAGAGTCAGAGGGACAGGGCTCTCCCTCCTCCAGCTGTGTGACCCCAGATTGGCGTCTTTCTGCTCTGGCCCACGGCTCTCCCATCCTGGAGTGGTGGTTAGGAGTCCTTGCCCTGACCGTCTCACGGGCAGCTGGGCAGTGAGGAGGCCTGTCTATTTAGCAGCAGGTTGACAAACTTCCATTCTCTAGGTGGGAAGCAGGCGCAGAGAGGGGCAGCGAAGCACTATGCCGAGCAGAGACAGTTGGCCCTCTTCACCCTGGGCCTCACCCAGCTGGACCACTTCCTTGGGGACCAAGTGGCACAGCTCCAGCAGGTCCGGATTCTGCAGCTTGACCCTGATCTTCTGACTGAGGGTCAGCTCCGGGTTCTGGAGAAGGGGAGGGGCAGAACCTGACGGTCAGCTGAGGCAGGGCCACTGGGGAGCAGCTCCCCCCTGGGGAGCAGACCTCTGCTGAGCTTGGCAGCACTCATCCTGCTCATGGCTGCCCGTCCCCGCCAACACATACATTGTAGACAAGGGGTGGCGAGGGCAGACGCTGAGAGAAGGCCTCAGAGGCTAAGCTGGAGGCACGCCTGGCCCACGTGCAGGCTCGCCCCTGCCAGTGCGTGTGCGCACCGCCCGCATGCTCACCAGCCTGTGCCGCTGCAGCGCCTCCAGCACCGTGCGAGCCTTCTCAAACGGGGGTATCCTCAGGCTGCACTGGGTGGGAGACAGGGTCCCTGCTAAGCAGAGGGCAGTGTGGGCGCACCCTGCCCGCCGGGCCCTTGCACCTGTGGCCTGCCTACTGACCGGAACAGGATCTCTGCCCGCAGGTAGTTGCCAATACCATTGAAGAACCTCTGGTCCAAGAGGGCCTCACAGATGGGCCGGTCAAAGGCCTTGTCTGCCAGGTTTCGCAACACGTTCTCCCTGGAGGGACACTGGGCATGTGAGGTCCATTCTGCCCCAGCATGGGCTTGCAGAAGAAAATGGGAGTCCCGGTTCCCCTTTTCCCAGCCTCATTGCTGTTTTGTCTTAAGGAATCTGTTTTCCCCTCTGCTAGATGGGAATGGTAAGGAATTTCAGTTCATTTCCAAAGGTGGAAAATACAGATCAAAAACATGTTGGAGGAAACGTGCACATGTGTCCATGTCACCAGAGTCTCTGACACTGCCCCAGGAGCAAGGTGATTGAGGTTTTCAGGTGTGTCTGCGGGCTGGGGTCCCTGTGAAGGACTTTTTGTGGGTTGGAGACCACATGTGGATCTGAGACCCTAAAGATCTCTGGGGAGGCAGGGATGGCTCTGTGCAGCAGGCGTAGGGAGGCAGGCTGTGAGTACCCCAGGGGCCCCCACCCCACTGCCAAGGGCTGGAAAGGACCACACGAGACAGGGATGGACATGGAAGCCACACAAGATAGAGAGCCGAACACAGTTTAGGGTAAAGGTAAGAGCAGGTTAGCCTGGGTTGTCAGATCCCCCCCGGCTCCCCACCACAGGAACAAGAAGAGTGAAAGGCTCATTGAGTTCAAGAAGACTCAGGGCCAGGAGCACAGGAAACTGAGGCATGGCTCCTCAGGAAAGTGAGGTGGGATGAATCTGGACAACACAGATGCTTCCGGTGGTTGGGGGAGGGGGCGGGGGGGGTGGTGAGCTCTTGGGAGTTGGGCCTGGGAAAGCCAGGAGCCAGTGCTTTCTGTGGCTCCAGGGACACCCCAGGGGACGGCTGAGTCTCCTGAAGCCAACCCCAGATACCTGTCCCCAAGGAGGACTTGCCCAGTCCACTCCAGACTTTGCATGTGATTCTCTGCTAGAATTTTCTAGAACTCTACATGGCTAACTCCTCATGTGCAGCTAGATGTGTGGACACCTAGAGTGGCTGTACCTAATGCACCTGCCCCCCACCAGCCCCAGCACAGGCCAGCTGTGCTGCTTGTATTCTTCTGCAGGCTTGCGTCTATCTGAATTTACCTAGTTTGTTTTCCTGTCCTCCCTCCCCTACCTGAACTTTAATTTTGTGCCATCAGGGGCCACAGCCATCTGCACCCCCAGCACCAGAACAGAGCCTGGCATCAGATTCACACGGGTTTTCTTCTAAAGGAAAGTAGTGGCTGACACCTCCCATCCTCTGTGGCCTGCGTCATAGCCCAAGGCCATAGGACACAGACTAGTGGGCAGGCAGAATGTGGGAGACCACAGAGCCCCTTCCTGCCCCCTGAAGCAGTTCCTTTTCAGCCACCTGGGGGGTACCCACAGTGTGGGGTGTTGGGGGCCCAGCTGATGCGACCTGGCCATGTGCCCTTGGGCATGCCCACCCACCTTTCTCTTGCCCCCCTCACTCCTCCCACATCAGTTTTGAATTTCCATATTCAGTTGCTCAGGGGGCTGTCCCCAGAGGACATTATCTGGTCTACGGTGAAGGGACTGAGGCCAAAACAGGGCTAGGATTTGCCTCTGGCCAACGAAGCACTGACCAGTCAGCCCAGAACCCAGGTTTGTGTCCACCACCACCCCACGGCTGGCCCTACCTGAACTGCTGATACTCCAGCAAAACGCACGGCCCTCGGCCTGGCTGCCACTCGCCCCCAACCTCCCAGCGGCCGAAGCGGCGGATGTCCACGAAGCACAGGGCCTGCTGGGGGCCAGGCTGGGCTGTGTAGAAGCGCAGGTGGGCATGGGGGGGCAGCGCGTCACTGGGTGCCAGCTGGAAGGAGCCAGACATGCCAAAGCGGAAGACCACAGCCAGCGACTCCCGAGGGGGCTGTGCGCCGGGCAGGGGGTTCAGTGTGAGGCGCAGCTCTTTGCCTCGGGCTGAGGCTGAGATGTGGTAGGCACTGCTCTCAAAGGGCACCTCGGGGTTGCGGCTCACGGGGGACTTCTCCACACGCCCGCTGAACACCAGCCCCTTGCAGGCCTGGTTCACAAAGTGGCTGGCCAAGTGTAGCTCCGGGCCCTCAGGCATCCTGCAGGGAGGTGGGTGGGTTGAGGGGAGATGGTGGGCTATGTGCACACCTTGTGAGGTAGGAATTACCACCCCATTTTGCAGAAGAGATGCCTGAGCAGGCCCCTAGTCAGAGGGAGTGAACATCTGAGGGCCTGGTCGCAGCCCTGAACCCCCATCTGGCCACCTGGAAAAGCCCAGAGCACCTGCGCACAGGCAGGGATGGCTTCCGATGGCTTCCACCAGGCCTGCTGCTTTTGGAATAAGTCAGGTCCTTTCTGGGCTGGTGCTGTCATCTCCTTTCCCCCAGCCTGCCCACTCTGACACACCACTTCTTTCCTGTCTCCTTGTTCCAGCTGTCTCTTCAGTCTGGCCTGGGGACACCTGGAAGAGGCACTGACCTTTCTATCTCTGGTAGCACCCTCCCCCCCCTCCAACACACATACACATTTCCTTTTCTCCTGTCAGTCTCACAATCTGTTATGATCCAACTGCTGGCTCCTCCACCTCCACTCCCATTCCACAGCAGAAGCTCTGTTAGCTCTTCATCCCCACACCTCCTCCCCATCTTCTGGCTGAGAGCAAGGAACCTGCTCTCCTGGGGGAGAGGAGCCGGCAAAACCCTCCTTGGCGAGCTCAGCTTAACCCCAGTGACCACCCGGGTGAGGACAGAAGAGGTGCGGTGTCTCCAGGCCATCTGCGCAAAGCAGGTCCCCAGGCCAGAGGGAGGGAAGAGGGGCCGCGCCAAGGTGTGTGTGGGAAATGAGAAAGACCCCTCGGGCATGGGGCGGAGGCGCGGAGAGGGGTGGAGCCCCCTTGCTCGCCCTCCCCCCGGGCCCAGAAAGGGAGTTTGTCATTTTCTCATTCCCCTAGGAGGTCGGGCCTGAAGGCCAAGGTGTGCGTCGGTCAGAGAGGGCAATTTGGCCGGGGCTGATCCTTTACCCACCTCTTCCCCGCGCCCCTCCGCGCCACGCGGGGCTTGGCACCAGGAAGGGCAGATTTTCGGGAGAGGGTGCCGGTCGATTCCTGATTCGGCGAGTGGGCGCGCCCCGGCTCGCCTCCCCACTCGCGGCCTGTAGGTGCTGAAGCTCCGCTCCCTTCCGCCTCCCGCCAGCAAGTGCACCCTCAGGCCGCGTCCTGGCCCCGACTGCCCACTCCCCGCGCCAGCCCCGCCGGCCGGGGCTGCCGGCACCCGGAGCTGAGCGCTTCCGGCGGGGCGGGGCGGGCGCGAGGAGCACGCCGGGAGCGGGGCTCCGGCTCCGGCCGCTGGAAAGCGGGGCTCGGGGTGCCCGGCCGGGCTGCGCGGGGAAGCCAGCCGGGGACGTGTCACCTGGCAGGGGGCGCTGGCCCGCGCCGGAGCCGGGGTCCGGGTCAGCTCTGAGCCCCCCGGCGGGGGCCGCTGTCTCCGTGCGGGTGGGAAGGCGCCGGCTCCCCGACTGCGGGCCGGCACCTGCAGCAGGAAGCCGCGGCGTCCAGGTGCAGCGGGCCCCAGCTGAGCGCGACCAGCTCAGGCCCTGGGGACCAGGTGGCTCTGAGCACAGTTCCGCCGCGTAAACACCAACACCACCGCCTGCAGAGGGGAGAGCTGTGGAACCCTAAACAAAACAACAGGCGGAAGCAGAACCTACTTCAGGGGCTCTGGTGGGGGGAGGGTGTGCGGCCGAGCGCTGGGGGTGAGGGCAGGCACCAGGGTGTCTGTGTGTGTGTGTGTGTTGGGGAGGGGGGGTTCCCCTGCAAGCCTCTGCAGGGAGCTTGCCTTTCAACCCAAGTGTAGTTTGCCCCCCACATCCCTACATGCTGCTTCTGCTCGTCTCCTTAATCACCTGTAACACCAGAAGCATGTTAGATAGATGACATTTCCTTACTTATGCTGACGCATACACCTCTAAGACTCTCCTACAAAGCTACAGTACTTTTCTTCACACATAATAAACTTCCACAATATTAACATCCTTTTTATCTTCTCATACCTAGCTCCCAAAGTTCCCCAGTGGTTCCCAAAATGTCTTTTATAGTCGTTCAAAGCAGAATCCGACTATGGATTATACTTCTCTTAAGTCAGTTTTTAATCAACACGGGACCATCCACCCGCTCCCCTTTTTTTGGTGTCATGATACTGATGAAGCCAGTCTCTTGAGGTGTCCCCTCTCATTCTGGGGGTATCTGGATGTTTCCACAGGTATTAATAACTTGCTCTTTAGTTTTTCCAATTCGCTGGGAATGGGATCTCGAGGCTCGGCTGTATATTTTCAGGGTTACCTCCTGGGTACAACCCAAACCCACTCCCCACTTAGTCTGAAATCGATGGCAGCCGAGGCTGACACAGCCAGACCTCCCTGGTAAGGTATGCCCCAAACCTTGTGACTGCTGAGCAATTTCTGGGGTAGTTCATTTGTTGGTCTCTTTTTGTATATTATGGTATAATTTCTGTACAGGAAACTGCTTTTAGAGTACAAGTTTTGCTAAATATACTCACGTTAACCATCACCACAGTCAAGGGATAATACACTTGTATCAGCCCCCCAATTTTCCTATGTGCCAGTGGTAGTCAACAGCTCTGCCATACCACCTGATCTGTTTTCTGTCCCTGGTTTAATGGCAATTGTGCTCAAGCGTTAATGCCGAGTCCGGTTTCAGTTTTCTTTTCCACAGTGCCTTGAGATCCATCCTTGTGGTGACACTTATCAGTTCATCCTTTTTGTTGCTGGCTGCGCTGTGGCCACACACCCTGTGTCTCTCTGTCTGCCAACTGAGGGGCAGTTGGTTATCCATCTGCGCTTGTTCTTGAGCACCACAAAAACACCTAGTTTCACATCATAGCCACACCTCATGGCCCCAGCATCCTTGGTGAGCTGTCTGCCAAGTACTCTACTCAATTGGGAGTCATAAAATAGTGGATTTCCAATTCTTTCTTCCACATGAGCTAGAATGCCTCTGAAAAAATTTTTTAAAAAAGATTTACTTATGCATACAGAACTGGGGTACATTGCAGAGGTGCAGGGGTGGTGAGAATGATGTCGTTTTTGGAGTCAATGGATTTAGAGTGCAGGGTTCACCTGGGAAAGATTTCCCTAGAGCTCCCCTTCAGTGGCACACAGTGAGATTCTCCATGACATAGAGAGATTAATTAAAATTAAATTAATTAAAAGAACAAGTTTATTAGAGAAGGGACAGAAGAGTAAGACACTTGCATAGACACAAGCGGGCAGGAAGAGCTGCCCCAAAAGGGACAGCCTTGCCAAGAGAGGCCTGCATGGTTGCAGGCCAGCAGCCTTAGGAGAGGGGCCTCTGCTACAGCAAGAAGGTCAGGGCAGAGAAGTCCCAGCACTTGCAGGTCATGGGCAAGCTGCTGCCCTGTGGAGGGAGAGAGCTGGTGGAAAGAAGCACCTGCATAGTCATGGGTGGGCGGAGGGCTGCTGCCTTTCTGTGGAGGAGCGCTGGGTTTTATCATTTGCTTTCAGTAGGGTCTCATCTTCGTGATTGGATGTTTTTTCCTTAATCCCTGTATCTTCATCTTCAGGTGACACTCCCTATATCAGTTTGATACCTGTCTGGGTGTTGTGTCTCTGGATCTGGGTACTGAGGCCTGGTTTCCATAATTTAATGGCTTATGCTAATCCCTTCTATGCCTACCTGTGTGTGGAGGTCATGACCTTTTCCAGCCCTTCCATTCATATCCTCCATCAAAAGGACTCACCAGAGACAGAGTGGGGAAGCAGAACAGTCATGGACGAAGTACACTGCTGAGGGGAGCAGCGGGTGAGACAGGAGAGGTCTGCCGCACCATGTGGGTCAGCTCCCTGGCCGGGGATTGAACTTGTGCTGAACTTGTGCTGTGGCTAGCTTCATAGTGCTGTGCTTCAACCCACTGGGCCACCAGGAAGGGCCCTCCTTTGAAATTCTTCTGAAATTCCTTGCTTAGGGCTACTTGGTTATCCTTAAATACTGATAAAAGTATGAAATTTTATAAATTTTCAGCCTACACAAACTGCCTCAACAACATCCAATGGTGACAGATCAGGACTGATTTGTTTGGGGGAGAGATTTTTTTCATGGCCTCTTTCTTATTACAGACTCATGGGTGTTTTACTTTCAGCCCTCTCCCACACCTGCTGATGGAAAGATACTGGGGCTACAAGATTGGAAACAAGCTTCCCACCCTTAAGAAACTCTGGCTCAAAGAGCAAATGTTTAAAAATGAACACTTATGTAAAATATGTATAAATAAGAGAAACTCAAGCTGCTAAGTGCGATGTTTAGTAACAGTAGTAAACATTAAGGCAATGTTATAGTCACTGAGCTGAGGGGTTCTGTGACAGCCTGGGGATGATACCTAGGAAACCTAGTATGTATTGGCTGAGATTTGGACTCTCTGCTACTTGTTATTTCTCCTCCTCCTGTCGATTATTTTTTATTCGTTTGAATTAGCTAATTTGAGTGTATTACATCACAGAGCCTTTGATGGCTGCTCTGAATGTCACATTACCTGTCAGTTCACAGTGATACTTTACCATCAGCTTGAGTGAATTGTAGAAACTCTCCCTTTATCCTCTCATTTATAACCTGAAATACTTCCTCCACAAACAATGAGAAGCATTCAACTGTTTTAAGTTTTGTCCTAGTAGTCGAAAAAAAAAATTAAAGTAATTTGAGGACATCTACTATATTTTCCTCTTCCCATTGTTCTTCCCTCCAGCCGTTTCAAGATTCTTTACCATTTCCTTGTTAAGATCCTCCTTTAGCCTTTTCTCCCTAGGCTAGTTCTACTGGTGACAAATATTACTTATCATTCATCTGAATGTCTTAAGACTCGCCTTTATTCTCTTTTAAAGTTTTTATTTGTGTATACAAGAACTGGGGTGTATAGGCCAGAGGTGCAGGGATTGGGAAGGTTCACCAGAGACAGAGTGGGGAGCAGGACAGACTGCTGAGAGGAGCAGCAGGTGAGAGAGGAGAGGTCTGCTGTGCCATGTGGGTCCCTCCCTGGCAGAGGATTGAACTCGTGCTGCAGTGGCTGCCAATAGCTTGATTGCACAAACTTTAACCCCTGTGCCACCAGGGAGGCCCTTCCTCTTTATTATTGAGGGAATTTTTGCTGAATACAAAATTCTTGGTTGAGTTTTCTTTTGAGGCCTTAAAAATGTACATTTTTCTTCTGGCTTCAATGCTTTTTGATGAGAAATCCAGTATGATCCAAGTTGTTTTCCCCCCTAAACGTTAGGGGTCATTCCTTTTGTTGCTTTTAAAATTACTTTCTAGTTTTTTGTTAAGTTCCAAAGTTTATAATTATGTACCCTGGCATAGACTTATCTCTTTAGGTTTCTCTGAGCTTCTAACTCTCTAGGTTTGCCTTTTACCATATTTGGAAAATTCTTAGCTACTATTTGTTCAAATAATTTTTCTGTCTCACCCTCTTCTAGGACATGAATATTGGACCTTTTATTATAGTCTATAGGTTCCCAAGACTGTCTTGTGTTCTTTCCCTAAGTTATTTTCTCTCCCGTTTAGATTAGGTGCTTTCTATTGGTCTATTAAGTTCCCTGAATTTGTTGAGATTGTCTTGCATTGGTTATATTGTCGTTTTCCACTCTAAAATTTCTATCCGGTTCCTTGAATCTTCTTTTTTACTGAGACATCAAGCTTTTGTTATGATGGCTGCTTTCAAGTTCTTGGCATAGAACTGAGTCCTCTGGGTGCCGCTGTCCAACATCTCTTACTCGAGTAGAGATTTTCTTGTTTCTTGGTATGACAAAGGGTTTTGTTTGAATCCTACACTTGTGGGCATTGTTTTTGAAACTGGACCCTGGTCATTTAGACCTTCTCTTTTTATTTATTTAGCAGGCTGTGTTGATCCACTGCCCACGGGTAAGGGGGGCTACCTCCTCTCACTGCCAGTTGGGCTTGAGGGCTGGGCGCTCGGCGACCTCTCCTTGGCCTAACCACCTCCCAAAGGCACCAACTCCAGGTTCCATCTCATCAAGGGTGTGTATGGTTTCATAGAACTGGGGGTACACACACACATATCCTTATATATATATATATATGTATATATATATATATATAAAATAGTTTATTTTTACATCATTTTGTACATTTTTTTTCCATCTCAATTGTAATCCCCGCGGGTTTCCCATCACCAAGTCACCCATGTGCCATCACCATAGTCCCGTGCACTTCCCTCCCCCCACCCCCCGTTTGATCCCGGGTACACACATTCTTAATCCCACTTCTCTTTCCATGGGCACTTCTCTCCTCAGAAACTGTCAGGAAGACAACGCTCTGCTGCACTTACTGCCAGCCTAAGCCCAGGACCAGCAGCGAGAGCACAGAGGCAAGAGCAAGGCAGAGCTGGGAAGCAGAACCCCAGCCTTCCTCTCCACAAATGGTTTACTTTACCCGACCTGCTTCTGTCAGCGGCTGAGAGGAACAAATGTGTGTTGGCCCAGGCAGATCCATATGTCACTTCCTCTCTCTTACAACCCTTTGATCTGAACCACAAAAGCAGCCCTCACACACACTCCTTCACACTTGTTTATTCTTCCTGCTCATGAAACTGTTAACAAGCTCCTGTCGCGGAGAGGGAAAACACGGTAGAAAGTCCTCAGGATCCTGTATGTTCATGTGAATTCTCAAGTGGGAACCCAGGAGGCCAGGGGTCCCGGAGGCCAGTTTCCCACCAGCCTTCCAGTACCCCCAGCACACCCCGTGCTAGGTCATTTGCTGGACAGAGGTCTGGTGACGCAACACTGATCTAACACTCTATTCAACCCAGCGGGGTCATCAGGGCGTGGGCGTGCTTCAGCTCTGCAGGGGAAGAAGTGGACAGCATCAGGTAGGCGCTGTGAGGGTTCCCTAACCCCTCCGTGTACATCAAGCCTCACCTGCCAGGAGGACCTGGAACTTGTCTGCGGAGAGGGACATGGTGACAGGCTGGGCGGGGGCCCCCGGGGCAGCAGCCGTCTCCAGCCGCAGGTGCACCATAGGCTCCCCCACGGGCTGCAGCAGGCTGGAGCTCAGCGTGTAGTCCACCCGCCAGCTCACGCCTGCCAGCTGGTTCACTGCGAGGTGGGCGGGCGGGCGCTCAGAATCACGGCCAGGCCACCTTCAGCCCACTCCCTGACTCCACCCTCACCCTTCAAGGGCAGGAGGCCTTTGGGAAGCTCTGGTCTCTGACACAGGTGCTCAGCAGTCTAGCGCTCAGATGGGGCACGGCAGCTCTCAGAGGGAAGAAGCCTGGTGAGCTAGGGGAGCCAGGCCAAGTCAGGCTCTGTGACGGCTCGGCTCGCAGTGATCGCGGCTGGCTCCTCTCTCAGACTGGGGCCTCCTATGCTGCAGGCAACTCCAGAGTGGAGTCCGCCTGCCCGAAACGTACCTCGCAGGCTGCAGGCCCGAAGATGTTCCTGCAGGGGGCTCTGCTTCTCCTCATAACAGCGGCACAGGCTGGCTGCGTGCTCTGGGGACAGAAGGGAGTCTATGAAATACCAGGGGGCAGGGGGGGGGGGCAGCCCAGGATCCTGCAGTGAGGCCGGTGGCCTGGCCTGCCGGTCCCCCACTTGCCAGCCCTGTCCCCCTACCTTTGGGCAGCCCCAGCTGCTGCAGTTCACTGGACAAGGACTCGCCATCCACACTGTGCTTGGCCGAGCTGGAGAGGATGAAGCTCAGCACTGCCACGGTGGCCTTCACATCACCGGACTCTGCAGGAACCCGTGGGAGAGGGTGTCCTGGGCCACTCCCTGCTGCCCCACTACCTGCAGCTGAGTCCCCTGCAGCCTGGAGCTCCGAGCAGGTGGCTCACCAGGGGCTGGCCAAGGACACTGGCCTTCCCCTCGGAGGCAGGTGGGTCAGGTGGGCCAAAGGAGAGATTCTCTGTGCTAGGCCCTGGGTCCAGCACCCAGGGTCACCCAAAGGTCTCCGGAGTACTCACCAAACTTGGCGTCAGCAGTGAGCTTCAGGATCTTCTCATACTAAGAGGAAAGGAGGCCCTCAGGGGTGCTGGACCCCTGCTCATCCCCAACGCCCTAGCCCTGGGCCCTGCGGTGAGGACAGAAGGTATCCAGGAAGGGTGGGAGGCCGATCACCTAACTCCCTGGACTAGTACAATCTCAGGGCAAATGGGGGCTGAGGGGAGGGCAAGGCAGGGATTATGGGGGCACAAGACTATGGGTGCTAGGCCCCTACTCACATCGATCCCCTGTCCCAGAAGCTCCTTCAGCACCTGGCTACACAGCAGCCGCAGCTTCACAGAGGACTGGGGGGAAAGGCTAGGTCAGCCAGACTGGCCACCAGGTACTCGGGTGCAGGTGGGGCTCTGACTCAGAGTGCCAGCCGTGTGCAGAGTCCCACAGCAGGCTGGCACAGGCTGAGCGTGCCAGGCCCCAACCCTGGGATGACCTCAACACCCCACCCCACAGCCCCAGCCCCTCCTCTGGCTCGGAGGAGACCCATGGACTTAACAATCTTTGCCAGTGTGCTGATCTCCGCCAGGACCCAGTCGGGGCAGTCCAGGTCACCACAGAACCGGAACTTCTGCATGAGAGCAAGGGAGGCGGTCAGGTTGGAGGGGGTGTTGAGCTGACCCCTCTACTCCCGGAGTGCAGAGGCCCTGTCCCCAGCCCAGGTGGGTGCCCTCTGGCCTCTTGTAATCCCCATCAAAAGGCTGTTCGGGAAACAACTCGCCCTGACCCTTTGTGCTGAAGCCTGTCATGGGTCTCACTGCTGCACCCTGCCTGGTGGTGGAGCCCACTCTGTGTGCTGGGGCCCAGCACAACGCAACATGAAGTCCCTGACCACAGCGTGAGCAACGTCTTCCACCTCCTCCTCCTCTTCTCCCTGCCCTGCTCTGGTCTCACTGGCCTTGTTCCCACCACACAGGCCCCTGGTGTCCCCTCTGCGAAGCTTGTGCAAGTGTTGCCTCCTTGGGGGGGCCCTCCCTGACCAGTTTCTAAAACTGGCCATTTTAGGGGCCACAGGCATGTTCATTATCTTGACCATGGTGCTGTTTTCCTAATTATATTTGTGTCAAAACTTACTGAACTGTACACTATACATGTTTATTGTCCATCCATTATTTCTACAAAGCTACTGAAACCTGAAACACATGTAATACAACGTTACTGCAAAAAGAGAAACACTCTTCTCTTCACCATCAGGCTTGAGTCCTGATCCCTCTTTCTCGATCTCCAAAGCACTTATCACAACATACATCACATTATTTATTCAAGGTCTGTCTCCTGGCAGTACAAAACCCATCTGGGCAATCATGTGATGACAACATCCTCCATTCTCCTAACCCAGAGTCCTTTGTCAATCTCCAATAGCCACAGTAATACACGCCTAACTTCCCACGCCTCTGCCTGGGTGGCTCAGATCTGTGCAAACTGAGGACACAGCAAGTCCATGTTTGGATTATGTGGCCTAGGAACTCCACACCTTCCACTTGGTCCCCACCAGTCACCGCTGCCACTTCACACCTGCTGTGGTGCTCCAACCTCCCACCCTCTTCCCCTTGCCAGCTCAACCTCCACACCCCGATAATCCCTGACCCACTGCATTGGTGCTTCTATGGGGCCTCCAATGAAGCCCTCCAGCCATGCCACCAAACTCATCAACAAATGCAGGTTCCCTCCGAACGCCTCAGCAGCATATGACACAGATCTGTTCCTGAAGCAACACATGATTCTGCACGTTTCTCTCTGGCCTACTTCCACCTCATTTGCTGGATCTCCTTTCCTTTGTGACCAAAACAGCAGTCTGTGCAAAATTCTATACTGTTGCCATTCTGGGGTGGAGGACAGAAACTAGAGGTGCATAAGGATGGGCCTGCACTTCCTTCTGTTTCATGGGGTCTCAGCCATTTTATGCCATGCTGTCATTTGGCATCTGGTGAAGAAGTCTGTAGGCCTTTCTTTAAGTAAGACTTTGAAATACATAAAAAGGACTGCAAACAGAACTAACTGAAAGTCACCAAAGTCAGCAAACAGGACTAACTGAAAGTCACTAACTGCAAACAAAACTAACTGAAAGTCATTCAAAATGAATGGATGCTCTGTTTCGAGTCTAATAACCATTGGCATTTAGAAATGATGAGTATAACCAATATAAAAACAACGCAAAAAGCTGTAAATGTGAAGTGAAAACATGGACTTCCAAAGTGAGGGAGGTGCTGCTAACAATGTGGATTCGCTGCCGACACTCATAGTTGAAAGAAATAATATATTTCAGTTTGAAGTTAGTGAAAATTACGCTGTAAGTTTTTTAAATCCACAGATTAGACTACCTGTGGAGGTCTTGATTATTATTTACATCTTTTACCTCAAGAGTGTTCGTTGTATAACTTACTAAAACACAGGCATTTCTCTAGGCTCTCTCTTTCCAACTCACTGCTGCTGAAATTGTTTACACATCTTTAGGGTTCAAGATCCTCTTTGTTTTGGCGACTCTCACATTTCTGTCACTGTCACTGTGAATGCTCTTCTGAGCTCTGGACCCTTTTATCTGGACTGTCTGTGGCCAGCTGGGCCTGACAGCTCATTGGCCCCCACTCAGTATGTATGGAAGTAACTCGAGCTCTTCCCCCTCACTGATACCCACTGCCCCCTCCTGGGTGTTGCAGGACACTGAGCCTGTCCACCTGGGAAACAAGCCCGGACACCTCCCTCTTCTTTTGCTCCCATGCATTTAGCCCCTAAGTCCTGTGGATTTCCTCTACATGCGCCACCTAACCCAAGACACCACCACTTCCTGCGGGTGTGAAGCCCTAACTAGGTTCCCTGAGTCCCTCTTGTAGATGTGCCCTAGCTTCCCAGAGCTATCTTCTTAAAGCCCTCTCTTTAATGTGGCTCTCAAGGCCTAGCAAGAAGTGGTCTCTGTAGTCTCTCAGCTAGGTGACATGCACTCCCTCCCAGAAGCCATGCTCTCTTTTCACCTGGCCTTTCAATATGCCGAGCCCAGACTGAAGAGTCTTATATTTCTTCCTCACCCCATGCCTCCCAATCCGACACACAATCAGCACTGCACCCAGTCAGGCTTCTTCCATTCCCAGGTGCCCCTGGGGTTCAGGCATCCTCAATAAGCCTTTCTAACACAATGCACAAAGGTCCCTACCCCTCAAGTCTCAACTGAGTGCCAATTCAAGCTTCTGAATGTGCCTCTCCTCCTGCAGTAAGTCACAGTGCCTGGCATTGGATAGCCCCCCGCACCCCCAACCCCACCTCAAGCATCTGTTGAAGTAATAAAGAGATGGGTGGGCTACTAAGTCCTAACCCCCAAATGACTACTTTCTTGGCCCCGATAAAGAGCTGGGGTTCCCAGCAGAGCCAAAGGCTGGGCCTCATTCTGAGGTCTTCCCCAAGTTCCACGAGCACCCTCCGGGGCTCTTCTCGAGGCCGAGGAAGGCCTGGGAAGGCTCCCGCCGCCCTACCCGCTGGGGAAGGGCTTTCTTCGCCTCCCGGGAAGCAAGCGGACACCCGCTGCGGCCGGCCGGCCCCGCCCACCCTGCTACGGACGCGCTTTTCTCCACCTAAAGCGTTAACTGCGGGGCTGTGCTGACTGTCCTCCCGGCGAAACCCTCTCCTTCCTGCAAGGGCAGCCATGAGACCGGCGGTCCCGCCCGCCCTCCAGCCGCAGCCCCGGCCTCGCTGGGCCCCTCGGTCCTCACCATCGCGGCCCGCGGCCCGGCCCGGAGTTTGTACTTCCGGCGTCTGCGAGTCAGCTGACTCCGCTGTCACCTGACACGGGGCGGGACCTCCTGGCGGGGGCGGGGCGATCGGCGTCCCCAGAGCCGCGGGGGCGAAAATCGGAGCTCTGGCTTCCAGTCTTCGCGGAAACCGGGCTGGCCCGCGGTGTAACTAAGGCCAGAACCCAAACGTGCCAGAGCCCAAAATGAGCCTCTCGTGTAAGGGCTCAGGATCCTGGTCTGGCGTTTAGCGACCTTTGCGTTGGGGGG